TATATGCACATGCCAACCATGTGCTTAGTGGATTAATATTATGAAGGAATTTCGAGTTGTAAACAGAACAGTTTTTCCCGATTTGCTGGAGTGAGGTTAAAATCGCGTTTTTTCATTAATCAGACGATGCGATGCAACAAATAAAAGTAGTAAGTAATATTACCTAATGAGTATTACTTAGAAATTTCTTGTCTTGATGTTTTTATGGTCGCATTTATTCTAAAATCATTGTTATTCGAACTCTGTGTGACAGAGGAATGGCGGACCAAAATAAACACATGGCCTCAGGAAGACACCCATATGAAAAATCAAATTTTCAAGAATTTTGGATAATGACAAGAAAAAAACAAAACAAATGGTTGTAGCCATATTATCAATGAATCAAACTAACTCCATTTTCAATGCATTTTTTATCTCATGAATGCTGTAGCTGCGCAGTTCTAACATATTTAAATTTTCTTCTAATTAAGACAAAATAAACTTAATTGTTTACTAATTTTGGTCTCTAACAGTAGGTAATTAGTGCATTAGCACTTTGAGTAACTTTGAGCTAGTTTAGTAGAGTATTAAGCGCATTCTTGGTATGTCTTAGTTTACACCAGGCTAGATCCAATATGGCTTGTACATCCCCCTTAACGTCGAAATAAAATAAAAGCGCCAAGAATGTTTTTTTTTTTTAAATTTAAATGAAGCTATCATAACTATTTAATAGATCAGTCCAAAGAAAAGGCGTGAATACTTACTGTGGCGTTTGGCGCGATATTATGAATGCTTTTTATAATTCTTAGACAGGTGAACTCTTGCAAAAGTATACACAAGTATATTTAGAGCAGTACTCCCAAAAGCTTAATGGTTAGCACGTTGGGGATAAAAAAGTAAAAAAAAAGAAGCGCATTCACGTTGGCGACATGGGTTCAATCCTCCTTGTGACCAAAATTTTGAATCTCTTTTCACCTCGATTTTACGTGGGTTTCTTTTCCTGAATCGGACGGAAGACCTCTCGTTGCTCGCAACGAGATCGTATCTAGTTATTATTATTATTAAGGTCTTTCGTCTCCAACGGAAGACCTTATTGTTTTCGTTCGGTTTCTTTTTCCCTATTATTATTTTTCTTACCGATTTTGTGCACGCGATTTCTCGGAAACGGCTCGTCGATTTTCATCAAACTTTCAGATCTGATAGATATTCATCTGAACCTTGTCGGAAATTTTCGTCGTCGATGACGTCACTTCCGGTCGTGAGATATGGACGATTTTCTGATTTTTAGAGGGTCGGCTTGTCCTGAGATCTCCTCCTAAACGACTGAAGATATCGACTTGAGATTTTCAGTGTAGGTAGAGGAAGGATAGTAGATGTGACATTTTGCATATAGACCTTTCCTGGTAAAAAGGCATCGACGCTCGCCTGGGCTCGAAAAATAGGTTCATACGCATCTCGCAAAAATTGATACGTTTTCTTTTATATCTTTTTAGTTGTTAATATTTTGTTAAGACGTATATTATAAAAGATGTGCAATATAGTAAGACCTTTCATTTGGTATCAAGAAAAAAGGAATAGCCCATCAAATTAGGGGCATAGAGGGACCAAAAGTCTCTCGTCTTTAATTCTTTATTGATAAATATTTTGTGATACATTACTACAGCAAAGATATTCAACTTAACGATTTGCAACAAAATATACTAAAAATCTCATCATATGTTACGTAATAAAGGGTCACAGGGGGCTAGAATGCTAAATCTTTGTGACGCTTTATATCTCAAAAAGCGTGAATATTTTGATGAGCAATACTGAACAAAAAATAGTCAGAATAATGTTCTAAACAATATGCATTCTTTTAAGTTTTGTAAAACGGCCCCAATAAGGACTTGTAGGGGTGGCCCCTAAATATTTCCATTTAGGATATCTGTACGACGAAAAGAAATCTCTGAGTAGGTGTGAACAAAATGTCGTATAAATTACAAGACCTTTTCATTTGATATGAGAAAAAGGATCGACTCCTCAGATCAGGGGCTCCGGCAGAAGGGGAAAAAAGTCTTGAACTTTAACTCTTTCATGTACAATATTCATCTTAACGAATTGCAACAATATATGTTACTGATGTTACGTGATCGGGATGAGCAAAGAGGTCAGAATTGCTAAATTTTTGACGCTTGAGTATCTCGAAAAGGGGTGATATTTTGATAAGCAATATTTCAAAAAAGATAGTCAAAATAATGTATGTTTTAAACATTATGCATACTTTTATTTTTTGTGAAATGGCCCCAATAAGGACTTGTAGGGGTGGCCCCTAAATTTTCCCATTCAAGATATCTCTCCAACGGAAAGTGATTCTAGGACATGGACATGGTTCTTCTTCATACATAGTCCTCTTTAAGTTCTTTCTTTTTCTTTAATAATTGATTAATGGTTTCCTTTTTTTAAGGACTTCCATCCCTAATGGGACCTAATTCCGTACCCTTAAATGTCTGTCAGATACATAATACACTGATATTATATTAAAGCATTTGTCTAGTGGAAAAGGATTGCCCGTGAGAAAGATTTAAAAATGTCATTAATTAATCAGTAGTTAATTAACAAAAATTGCATTGAAGTCTATGGGGAAAAACGTTTTTTCAAAATAAAAATTCAAATAATTTGAATAATCAATAAATCCTGCGGTGGAAAGATGCATTGAAACATTAAAAATAGAATGGCAATTGAAAACAATTTTTTTACCAGCTAAATTTTTTTAATTGATTGTTTTTATTAATTAAAATAAAGGAAATAACTCTCACCAAAACTCAAGGTCATAAATTAGGACACATCCCACTATACATGCTAATAGTAATAAATGGGAAAAATGTCTAAATAAACTGAGTATTCAGTGCTTACATATCATTTATGTTCTAATTTCACTGAATTTTTTCCCATTGGGGATTGAATACCTTAATTTGTAAATATTCTTAATATCTCTAAATCTCTGTTTTAATCATTATCATAGTATATAGTATCGTTCTTATTTTAAAAGCTTTGTGTTCGCAAAAGACATATTAATTTATTTAAAAATTATTTAATCAGTTAATTAATCCATATACCTAACACTTTACGTTTACTGATGTTTATATCAGATAGAAAAAAATGCAATATTTCATTATATAGTTATAAGAGTAACATTGATTCAGGAGATAACGTATTCACTTTACAATTTAAAAATACTGTTAAAACGAAGACTAGATTGATCTATGAATCACCCAGCACAAGTAAGTCCGGGGACAAGGGTAATTATGAACCCCTATTAAAATTTTTCACTGCAGTATACGTAATTTTCTTGAAAGTTTTAAGAAATGCATCTTGAGAAATTTATTTCATTATAGAAAAAGTTCCTGAAATTTTCAAAGAATTTCTGTACATCGATCAAAAAGATATCCATATCAACAAAATCCGGAACAATTCGGCAATTTAAAAAGTACCAGTCATACCGCTGCCTTGGGAGTCAGCAGACCAAGAAATACCGCTGCCTTCACTCGTTCAACCAGCACCTTGTACGTTTTCTCCCGCACCTCCCTCACTCACCACCCAGAGGGTCTGGTAAAGATACGTATTATTGTTTGTAATGCCAACTAGGTTTACCGAAATTCTGTAAGCTTTGGATTGGCTGAAAGAACACACCTATACGATTTAAATGAATGCTTGATAAATCAGCAGAAAAATAACTTAAAGATGTTAAAATTTTGTGTCTAAAAGTTAAAGATGTTAGATAGGAATTATTTACGGAAATGCCCACCAGTTATAGGTAAGTGTGTTTTTATCATGTCTTGCAAATATTCTGTACGAAAGCAAAAGTGAAAGTAGTGTAGCCCTACCTGCGTAATACACATTCCTTCGATTGATATTGTAATTTCTCGTTTGGAGTCCCAAATTAAAGATTAGTTTATTAATATAAAGTCACAACCCAGAACAAAAAAGACGCTTAACATTTGTTTTCAATGTAGATTTTCCGCAACTTCCATGGAATTCCAAAGCATATTCCATGGAATTCCATGGAATTTTTGTTCCGCGGAATTCTTTAGAATTCTCCGGAGTATTGGGACGGAACTTTTTTTGGAATGATTTGGAATTTTGAATCTAGCCTGGAAAAGAGTGGAACAATGCCAGAATGGAAATTTGCGGAGGAAATCCGTGGAATTCCAGGATATTTGTAAATCTAAGGAATTCCATGGAAATCCATGGAATTCCAGGATTCCAAATTCCAAATACATGTACAAAGAAAACTGAAATAATTAGTGCCAAATAATTACAAAAAAAAAACCGACAACATCACAATGTTTCATAGATCAAATCTATATTTTCAAAATAAAAAATTAATTGTTTCTTTTACAATGTTTTTTGAGACAAATATTGCATATGATATAACTCTCAGATGTACAATATAAGCACACTTTCATAAAATATTCTCACGGAAAGTATTTTACATAAAAGGGTATTTACAGAGAAAATATGATTACCGGAGAATCTGTCATTTTGGTTAAATTAATGATAATCATGTTATGATATACATGAATTTAGTAAACTCCAGTCTGCATTTTCTAAAATAAGAAGTAAGTTTTAATAAATGAAATTGGCTATGGAATTGGAATAGTCATTGAGACCTCAACAAAGTATACATTTACAATGAACTGCCAGTGGCTTATCATTCTTATGTACTGGTACAAAGTTATTGACTAGAGTGACAAACACATGTATTACATGCAAAAAATATGTACTACACAACTATATTGATACAATGATCCCATAAAATTAACAGATGCTATTTCCCCCCCAACGTACGTGCCAAAGATCCCAATTAATGAAGATCCAAAACTTCTGACGTGTTTGCTAGAGAATCACTTCCTCACTGATATTCTATGAAATTAGTAAATGGTTATGTTAGAAGGTTGACAGTTAATTGGTGTCACGAACGGATTCACTTTCAGTACGAAGGCTCATAAAGTTCGATGTTGATCATTCCAACAGACACTTCAAACTTTCGATCCTTACACGATTTCTGAAAGAAAAAGATGACCATTAAGATGCATCATTATTGATATCCATTTAAATATATGACAAACAATAAACAAAAGCTATACAATTGATTTTTTTTGACCTGGCAAATCAGTTTACTATGGAATATGAATTAATTCACCATCTTGCAATTTTTTGTTTAAATTAGGATTAATTCTGATGAATGTATAAATGTGAAAAGTTTATAGATGACAGACAACATCAGGCACTGATTAAAAAACTCACTTAGGCCTTAAAATGGTTCAGGTAAGCTAAAACAAAAAGGTTTGAGCTCAAGCTCAATGCCTGACTAACACTGAAAAAGATACTTTCAATTTATGTGATTTTATTGATTTAAAAAATAATTCAGAAATCTTACCCTTATGTTTTTCTTTTCATACACCTCTTGTCCTTGTGAGCACCCGGATTCCTGTAAAATGCATGTATACTTCATATTAGATGATTGCTATTTGATCTAAAGTAATTAGGCATGTCTGTGCAGTTTTCATGTTTAGATTACCTGTCAGAATGCATTGTTATTAATTATTTGAATAAGAAATTTAAGCGTGTTAAGAATATAAACCTTTAAATTTTGTTTACTTGGCAAAGTTGCAATAATTTTTTAAATAGCGAGCACAGCGAGCGTCGTGAAGCGAGCTCAATATACTATTATAACGTGTATGAACGGAGGAAATTTGGGTTGAAATCTTCACGTCGTTCCAAGAAATTTTTATCTCACAGCGTGAAAAAATTCCAAACTCCCAATAATCCTTTGCGGCGAAGAGTCAACAGGACTTTTTATTTGACGTCATACTTTCGTCACTTAAACGGCTCAGGTATTTTGGATTTTGTAGGAAACTTCCGAAAATTCAGAATCTCTATCCCGATGCCTGGGAAGTGGGAATTGACTTGTTATTCTGTTCTTCTTTTTTAATGAACTGAGGAAAGGCAGTGCAAGTAAAATCTGTATAAAGGATTTTGAAAGTAAATAACTGCGCTTGCCCCAACGGTCGCACCGTAGAACACAATATTATGCTAATAGACATGGATTAATAAAATCAGAGTTAGTTAACTTGGTTTGAGTGATAATTTGAGCTCGTTCTCACCATATTCACAAGCCTAATGACTGACTGGCTAAGCATCTACATCCACCAAGTTATCAAACGCCAGCGCTGAGGGGATCATCTCAGGCACAATGCAGCAACAGCTATAAAATAATTAAAATAAGAACTGAAAATGATCACGAACACACCTTAAAATATATATAATTAATTACATTGTACATCATACTCTGTAAATGTTATCTTGACTTGAACAAAGGAACGTATAGGTAAAATTCTTTACATAAGTTCGATCCCAAACGAGGACATTCGGGTTAAAATCCATGATTTTAATGAGATGTTTAGAGTTTTTAAATAATTATTACAAAATTGAAATAGTGCACTAACGATTACACCGTCGGGCAGTTTATGTGTGGTGCCCAGACTAATGAACAGTAGCATAAGCGTTCTTCATTCAAGGACACATAAAATACTGTACAATATTGTACCTACCGGTTCTTAAAATGTCTTCATCTTCTTCCATCTAAAGCTAACCATGATTCCCCTGTTCTAGACACACTCTTTCCAACTTTCCTTCTGTGCAACATCAACATCGCATTCGATATTTTTGAATTTCGGCTTGTTGTTTAAATTAATTGTTCATCGAGCCCGACTTCGATCCCGATGTTATTGTACTATTGGTCGACAGTTAAAAAAAGTCTAAGTAATTTTCCACAGTTTTCCAGTGCAGAAAATGGCTAAGTTTCTCATTTTATCATTTTTTCCAAAGAATTCCACTACTTTCCAAAGCAAAAAATGTCTAAGTCCATTTATTTTTTCAGATTCCAAAATATTCCAAAAACTTCCAGACACACTTTTCGACTTTGGTATGGAAACGAATGGAATTCCATGGAATTCCAAAACTTTTCCAAACCCTTTGGAAAATCTACATTAGGGAATTTTTTCCTTTGTAGTTGTGTTCTTTTCATTTGTAAAAATTAAAAATTCAGATAAAACGTTACACCGTATGCGGTGTTTGATGTTAGAAGAGCGTGCTAAAGCAGACAGTATGGCGTCTGAAGGGGGTTCCTTTGGAGAAATCTGTAAAAAAAAGAAAACAATACAAAGCTTATGAATTCCACTCATGATAAATTGTTACAAATAGATTAACCAGCATAAAATGTTTACTACAGAAAGCCACGGCTTGAATTTAGCAGCATACAATAAGTTGAAAATTGTTCCATAAAGCTATGTCAATAAGAAGTTGAGTGGATTTAGTATTGACACTAAGGCACCGGATGGATACTACAACTAGGCAATATGAGAGTCAATGAAAGTTTGTTATTTGATTTATTACTGGGGGACTACTATTGTGGCAACCTCACAGACCGTCTTTAGTGATCAAGAATTTCCTGGAAATTGGTTTTCGGACAAGGAGGTTACTTCAAAAGTCTTCTCGTGATACCAAGATATTTGTCAATCCCACTGTATTAGAAATAATGGCATTTTACTGTAAACCAACTATTATTCGCGTCATCTTTTATTCGCGATTCGTCCGTTTGAAATCAATCCGCGACGATTAATTTTCGCGACAGAGAAAACATTTCCTACAAATACTTAGCAAAATCATTGGTTCGCGGCGATTTATATTCGCGAGTTAAAGTCGGTTGCGAAACTCGCGAATATTTCTCGCACGCGAATAAAAGTTGGTTTACAGTATATACAGTAATACCAATTCGACAAATGTTCAATTCACAAATAAGAATTAACAAAAGGTGCGTTAGCAGTTTTGTTCTAGTGTATAAAAAATCTTCATTACAATATTCATTCTGTAATTCCTTATACTTTTCGAGATATTCGGAAATCAATTCCAAAATTGACTTTAATTTTTTTACTTGACATCAGTTTGGGTCTTTGAAGATCGAGCTACATTAATTGTTAAGTGGGAACGGTTGGAGAAATTTTCCTGGATTACTGGATGAATATATGCGCATTTGCATTCGGGCTTTTCTCTAATTTGATCATATAATCTTAATAAATGACCAACAACATTTTAGCTGTAATTGTTTTAAAATCGAAAGGTATATAATACATTCCAGGAAAAAATTGTTCAACCATAGCTTCTTTTACATTCATAATCAACATGGTGGTGCAGTTGTTGATGTAGACGTTTTCAAATTAATTTTTAGGGAAAGAAATATTACGGACTAAACTTTATAATCTGGAGTAAGAATTCAACTTTAAAATGTTAAAAATACTATGCAACTCTTCGCCGCACTTCAAACACCATCTGTTTACATGTAAATGGCCAGGGGTCCAAGCTAATTTCGAGTAAAAAAAAAGTAGGTCATATTTGAAATTGATTTAAGAATATCTCTAGAAGTATATGGAATTCAGAATGTGCTTTGTTAGAAATGAAGATTTAAATAGAAATTAAAATTTTCGATTAAAAAATATTGTCTTAGTGAAATTTGGTACCCAGTGTAAGAGTTCCATACTTTTATCTTTTTTATAAAGGCCTGTGCTGCAGATGCAGTTGTCTTGTGCTGAAATATGAATCTTTATGAAATCGTTTAATAAAATGGATTCGGTATTGAAATACCAATATTATAACTTGTTCATAAGCGTCAGAAGCAAAGAGCAATATATGATAAGTGTGTCAAATGGCCCTTTAAAATGAATATCATAATTTTACTTTATAATTTTTAAAATTTAATTTGCACAGTTTTCCATCACAATCCATGTGACCTTAATTCGTAATTTTCAATTTGATCAAAATGCCATTAATTTAGAAATATGACATCAAAAAGTTCACATTTTCCCGCCATTTTAGCATATATTTTAAAAAACAACTTATTTTCAAGCAGTTTTTGTCTTGTTTTGGTTGGATTGCAAAAATAGCATCATTTCTGACATCATTAGCTCACCTTTGGCTCAAGTGAGCTTTTCTGATCAAAATTTGTCCGTTGTCTGTCGTTGTTGTCATAAACTTTAATATTTTCGACTTATTCTCCAGAACCACCTTGCCAATTTTAACCAAATTTGACATAAAGCATCCTTCGCTGAAGGGGATTCAAGTTTGTTAAAATGAGAGCAACACCCTCTTCCAAGGGGAGATATATTGAATTAGTGAAAAATTAATGTCATCTTTTAAAAATCTTCTCCTAAAAAACCACTAGGCCAGAAAATGTGAAACTCATGTGGAAGCATCCTCAGGTAGTATAGATTCAAATTTGATCAAATCATGACCCCTGGGGGTAGGGTTGGGCAAAAATGGCCGATCAAAGTTTTACATAGGAGTATATAGGAAAAATCTTTAAAAATCTTCTTCTCAAGACCACAGTTAGCCTGGAAAGATGAGAGTCATGTGGAAGCATCTTCAGGTAGTGTAGATTAAAGTTTGTCCAAATCATGACCCCAGGGGTAGGGTGGGGCCACAATGGCCGATCAAAGTTTTACAAAGGAATATATCGGAAAGTCTTAAAAATCTTCTTCTCAAGAACCACTGGGCTAGGAAAGATGAAACTCATGTGGAAGCATTCAGGTACTAAAGTTTGTATGTCTTTAAATAAAACAAGCAAAATGCAAAGAATTGTGGTCCCCCACTTTCAGTGTCTTTGTGGGTGAGATGTCATTTTTTTGTGTCAGATATCAATGGCTTATCATATGTCATTTGGATTGATCGGTTGTTTGTTGTTTAATGTCCACCTCGAGAATTTTACACTCATATGAAGACGCCACCACTTGCTGGTGGAGAGCTGCAAATTTTGGCCTATACTCGGCACTCAGGGCCATTGTGTAGGGAGGGATCTTTTTTGTGGCAGCACCTACTGCGACAGGGGACCTCGGTTTATACGGTCTCATCCAAAGGACCGGTCTCAATGTCACACAGTGGGATTCGAACCTGTGACATAAGGATTGACTCCTTTCTTCGCGATTCTAGAACAGACGCTGTAACCACTGAGCCACTCCAAGGTCAAAAGATCAAAGTTGTTGGTATCCAGTGAAAGGTCTTGCTGTAAGGATTGACTCCTTTCTTCGTGACTTTAGAACAGACGCTGTAACCACTGAGCCACTCCAAGGTAAAAAAGTCAAAGTTGTTGTTATCCAGTGAAAAGTCTGGCCACAAAGAATACATATGTGCAATATGAAAGCCCTAGCCTTTACTGTTTAAAAGTTATAGCCAAAGTAAAAGTTAGGAATTTTTATGTTAAAGTGGTTCAAACTCCAAAGTCAAGGTCAAAAGGTCAAACTTGGTGGTACCCAAAGAAAGGTCTTGTCACAAGGAATACACATTTGAAATATGCTAGCCATAGCTCCTCTTAATCCAAAGTTATGGGCAAGGTTAAAGTTTTTGTGAATGACGGACAGCTAGACAGACTAAAGGACAGACAAATAAAATTTAATGTCCCCCGGGGGACAAAAACAGCTCTGTGAATCTGTATTTTCTAATAATTAATTCTTAAGAAACATGGTTTCATAACACATAACAATCCACATAAAAAAGAATATATATAACACTAAAAATGCAAACAGCTTTTAAATAATATGTAATAATAATTAAAACACATTAACTTACATATATACACAGTTCCACAGCCGCAGCGTTAGCTCCGCCCACCATAGATACGTCATAGCAACGAAACAGCCTCGGACATAGAGAGGGAAAAATGGCGGCGGATACAAACGCCCTACGAATAATTCCGCCGAGTATATCTTTGGATTATTTTAAAAATGTCGTCGTTACATCCCGTGCAAAGGAGAGAGGGTATAATTTTTTCATTAATGGTTATATCCATGCAGTAAAACTGTATACTTCCACTGATAAAAGCGTAGAAATTACGGCAAAATGTTACCGGTCGATGAAAAAGAGCGAGGATCCTCACAAGATAAATATGACGATCAACTATGATGTGGGCGTCATTGACGATAGTCATTGCTCTTGTCAGGCAGGGTG